GTTGTATACACATGCCTCCTCCAGCTCAGCAGAGATGTTAGGTCCTCTGAAAGCAAGCACTACCCTCTCATTCCTCTGGTGTATCCAGAACACAAGATGTGCTTGTTGAGATGGCTGTTCTCATACTGTGCCATGCTTGAGAACCTCTTAGAAGGGTTTTCATTTGATTTTTACTGTACAGAGCAGTGATTTGATGATGATTTAAGAAGTGAGGATCTGCACTGAAGGGTGTGCAGCAATTTATAAACATTGTGGCTTCCAGTATGCCTAACCATTACACATGAGTTATTGAACTGCAACTAAAAAGATTGATAACCAAAATTAGCCTGTGTTAATGTGGGAAGAAGGAGAACATCCACAGCCCTAGGAGGTTTAACATTGGTGTAACAGTGAATATCTAGCAGAGGGTTGTGATGAGGCTAGTAGTTCTATGGCCAGTGACACGAACAGAAACAGAAATATCGAAGAAAGTGATGGTAGTTCTGTTGCTTTAAAGTCTGCTGTCTCATAGATGTCCCTATCTCAATGCTTCATACTCAATACCTCTAAACATTGAATTAATACTCTGCTCCTGTTCTCTGTGATTTCCCAACTTTCCAGGCCCATGCACAGATTCTGTGTCTACCAAGACTTCCAGGTTGGAAGATTGTGTCTTGAGCTGATGTTCTCAGCTTTCCCTACTTGTTCCCTACCATCCTCTGTCAGATCTGCCTCCAGATCAGTCTTCCAGTCACGTGTCCTGCATCCTCCTTCCTCTCACTTTATGTCGCATGTAACAGTCATCCAGCTCCCTATTTACACTGATACCCAACAATCCAGGCTTCGCATTCCCTGGAGACACTACCACCAACCACTTCCTGGTGGTTCTTTAAGTTCTCCAGTAAGTCCTTTCATGTAGAAGATCCATCGCTGTGCTGACATTAATGGAGCTCATCTGGAACCGCATAGAACATTCTCTCTCTTCCAGTTCACTTGACCTGAGAGGTTCACTAGTGTGCTTTCCAGAACTTGACTCTCAATGCCACTTCTGTAACTTGTAGTCTATTTACTCCATGTGATCTTTTCCATTTGAGGATTTTCTTGGTCTCCTCCTCAGGTAGAATGAAAAGCCAAACTCAGTCTAGAAAAGCATCCTTTAGCCCCTGCAGATCTGCCATTTCTTCTATGATTCTGTTGAACATTTACTTATGATCTTTCACTCTGTCTTCTACTAGATGACTTCTAGACACTTCAAGGGACATATCAAGACCAGTTCATTCTCATACCTCAAAGTATAGATAGCACAGCACAAATTATGCATCATGGCTCAAATACAAAGAGAAGTGTAGAAAAAAATAGTTCTAGGTGCCAATGCCTGTCCTTATATTCAAAAGGCAAACAATAGTGATTAACTTACATAATTGTATAAAGCAGCTCATGTGTGAGGACTCTCCAGTAACAATGAAATTGCAGGGATATTTAGGGGTATAAAAAGGGCATTATCATGTTCCCAAACTGTAAGTATAACCTCTTGTTGATGAAAAGTTGAACAGTTAGAAAGGGTACTTGGAATCTAGGTCTGTCCTGGAAGAACTCCTGCAGAAGTGTAAACTTGAAAGCAGGGCATCCCACCCTGGGATAGTGCACATAGAGCTTCTAAAGCAAGCTGCTGGAACTGGAAGGAATGAAGTCATTCTTAGCATATGCGTCTCACAGATAGCCAGTCATTTGATAGTGATAGAGCCTTCAGAGATTAAGATATCAAATCTAGCACTTTTTTTTGTTTTAGAAAAGTTATGAATTATGAGGTTAAGTACACAAAGCTAACTGAAGCTGTTGAGTCTATTGGTGCTACCACCTGATTTCAGATAACGTCATGTTCTACCACTGTGAATGTGCACCATAACAAAGTCAGTCTGAGTACAAGTCTCCTCTACATATTTGAAAAGCAGATTGCCAATGTTTAACTAGTGATTTCAAGAACTACATACATTTAGGGGCAATAATATAACCATTAGGATCCTCCTTTAAACTCATAGTGTCTGGCACAATTTAGGCAAGCAATAAACATTTACTGGTTCTAGAAAGGAGATCTCAGAAGCCTGGAGCTCCAGTGGGACTTTCCACATAACCCAAAACTGGAATGAAAACATAAGCTTCTTGGATATGAAGCCAGGCTTGGGCTTCCCAAGACCCAGACCTCTGAGAGAAAGACAGACAGACAGACAGACAGACAGACAGACAGTATTGAGAAGCCTTTGGAAGCCCCTTCAAGTTCCTTCCACCTCTAAACTCCACCACCTTATTCAGGCTTAGAGTCCCTGTTCTTCTCATTCGGTCTGCACACAGGATCTTTTTCAAAGTAGCGAGTAGTGCCTTCTCCTGCCACCGTGGTACAGGTGAAACTTGCTCAGAAAGGCCAAGTCAATACCCTGCCCATATTTTGTTTTGGTGACTACACTGCCCCCATCAAAGGCAACCCAGGAGACCCCAGCATCCATGAACAGGAAAGTAGGCCACTAAACAAGCAAATTTCAGACAGGGACTGATCCTCAAATGCCTGTTTTCTGGTCCTTAGTCTTCTAGCATTACAACTGAGTCATTTACACACCTAACCTAGCCTGGCCCTCCTACAGTAAGGTATTGGAGTTTGGAGGTGGAAGAAACTTGAATCAATCTTGGCATCACTTCTTACTAGCTATGGGGGAAAATTGCTACACTTCTGTATGCATAGGTTCTCTCACACAGATGATGAAAGCCACCTCTCACTACATGCAACATGAGGCTTGACAATGCACTTAAAGCAGTGTCTGATAGTTTTCTGCTCGGATGACAAGTACAGATGGTACCATAGATTGGAAGGAAGGATAAACCATACCTCACTTAAGGGAGCCAGACTGGAACAAAACTGACCAATTAAACAAACAAATCCTTTATCAGCATGTTGCAGAAAGGGTGTCTCCAGGTTTCAATAATCTGTCCTTTAGAACTTAGCCTTTTTGTATTACTTTAACAGAAAATCTGTTTGCTGCTTTTACTGCTATCCCCAGAAGCCTTTGGTTTTAAGTGAATACCATACAAGCAGACAAATGAAATGCCATTTTTATTTAACCTGAAACAAATCTCCAACCACTAGCAGTGTTCAAAACAGTGACACCTAACACCGAAGCACAGTGTTCTACAGGGGCTCTAATGGGAAACTGAAAACTAGGTGAGGGAGGCCCATAGGCAGGCATAGATTCCTCACAACTGACTGATGGGGACTGGAGCCCTTCAGCTAAGGAAGGTAGGAGAAAAACCTCACACTGTATCCCATCTGTGAAAAAAGCCCTCATTTACTGACTTTACCCCTGCTTTTCCCTGTACTGCAAGATTTCCCAGACCCCTGCTTGTCGGAATCGTTGTGGTAATCTCCCTGTAGATGTTATCAATTTTTCATTTATGCCACTGAGTCTCAAATCAAATGCTACAAGAGTTTTACAAATTCTAACTCTCGAGATAGACCCATGAACTCTGAATGTATGGAGTGGTGGCTAAACACTGGGGGAGGGGTGTAGTTTGTTTTGCTTGTTGATTTTTAAACCCAAATGATATCATTGTGTAGATAAGTTTTGGGAACTGAGCCTTACACCCCCTCCAACAAGAGTGCACTGAGCACCAACCCCCAAGTCCAACTTGGATGCCGATGACATCAATAGCAAGTGCAGACCTGACTCCTGGAACCCGAGCGGCTGGATTTTGAAATTGTGCAATGAAACCTTCTGAGGCATGTTTCTCGTGTCAAGTGGGTTTATGGTCGGGTAGTCATGAAGCCAGACTTGTTCATGTTCCGTCTGGACAGTTGGCACATGTGATCCATGGACATCAATCTGTTTCTTTTTAATAGGGGTTATATTTTAGTTGGCCCAATATCAATCACTTCAAAAAGGAGAGAGAAAAAGGGAAGAAAAAAATAATAAAAGAAATCCAAGAGGGAATGTCTCAGATATCAACTAAAAAAGTTTGCTACCGGCCTCATTTTGAAACACCAAGGGTGAACTACACAAGGACCCAGCTGTCACAAGGAGGTCAGCCATACCATTGCAAAGCCAAGAGATGCTGCAGAAGCCCAAACTTCTGGGCAAGGGCAAATTCGGGGATTCCAGGGAAGCAGCCACCCCACAAGACTAGCTCCAATGTGGCAGGGAGCCTTGGTTTCCAACCAGTGCACCTAGCCTGGCAGGTCCCTGGCATGCTCTATGCCCAAGAGGTGGAATCGATCCACCTCCGGCCACCACCCCCCACACACCCTCCTGGGGGGGGGGGCGGTAGAGAAGAAGCAAATCACCACCAACACCGTCTTTTCCCAGAGGCCCTAGGTGGTTAGTGACAGAGATATCTCCCACACTTCCAGGTCATTGCTGCCACTATACACCTGCGAAAGGGCCCGCAGAAATCTGCAAGCCAAACTGGGAATCAGGCCACCAGGTCCTGAGAGAGCCCTGGCGGAGAAGAGCGGTGTTTAGAGAGCGCTCAGGAAACCGCGCGTCTCTGAGGTCCCGACTTTGACCAGAGGCGCGTTGGTTCTTACTCCAGTCCTTCAACTCGCGGACTGTGCGGGTGGGACCTGCCCGTCCCTTTTGCGGATCCCGGGCCCCTCGGCTTCCCCCTGACAGTACTGGGCGCACGTGCGCCAGTGCCCGGCGTCCCGCGCTGTCCCGCACCACGTTTCCGCTCTGAACGCCTACTGAGCGCAGAAAAGTGAGGCAACTAAGTTGGCAGCAATCTAGAGCCCCGGAGCGCACAGCCGCGGCTCCCACGCTGCTCTGGCAGCCCCTCTGCCCCAAGCCCGTCTCCCTTCCTTCGGCCGCTCCAGTCTCGCCCATTCCAGACACGAAACATCCAGTTCCTCCTACGGTCCCAGCCGCCTTTGGAAGCCAGAAGAGGAGGGGCAGGCGGCTGGGGACGCGGAGTCCGGAGCGGAGGTTGGGGCTGGGTGAGCCGGCTCTCAGGGGGCGCGGGACAGTGGGACACGCCCTTACCTTTCTTTTCCTCCAGCGCCCCACCTGCGGCGCAGAGCGCTGCCAGCAGCACCAGCAGCATAGTTCTCGCGGTCCCTGAGGGTCGTATCTCTAACCGGGAGAGGTTGGCTCTGGCTCTCTGGGATTAATCCGAGACCGACAGAGTCCTACGATCCGTGCCCGGTGACTGCGTCCGCAACGACGCCACCCGGACTCAGGCGCGCGTCCAGGTGACCCGTCCTCTGTCTGGGAGGCGATAGCCTCTGCGACTCGCTCCAGACGCCCAAGCCCAGGAGGAGCGCACAGTGCAGGAAGAAGAGGGAGGCTGCTGCGCGTTGCGCTGGGGCTGCCCAGACGTCTAGCTCGCCCCGGTCGGGACGTGGGGGAGGCTGGGCGGGAGGAGGAGGGACTAAGTGGAGGAGGAGGGATCCAAAGGAGCGAGGAGGAGGAGAATGTCAGGAGAGAGGAAGCGCTCGCCGTGAGGATCGAAGCAGGCAGTGACCGGAAGGTGGTGGAGGATTGCCTTGCCACCACTAGACATGGCTCTGGGGGCGAGTCCTGGCTGCGTGCAGCGGGGCAGTGGGTGGCCTTTGGGGTTAATTTCGGAGTGGGGACTCCATTGCGCTGCATTTCAGGACCTAGAAGGTCCAGCCAAATCTATGTCACAGTCCCCTCCTTCCCTCTGTGTCTCCCCCCTTCTTCCTTCCTTTTTTTCTTCCAATTAGCCGAGCAACTCTGGTCCACCTCGGTTACAAACTGTCCAACCGTAGAGCACGGGTTGGAAAATGACATAGATGGGATGCTGTTCCCTTACTCTCTGTAACTTCTCCTGGCCAGCGAAATCTCAGCAGAGTCAGGCTGACTTGGCAGCAGAGTTCTCAATCACACGGGCAGGGCAGAGGTGGGGTGCGGCATGTCTGAAGTGGCACTCAGAAGTCCGGAGGGTCCTTCAGATCCCATCAAGAACCCTCCAAGTCTGCTGAAAGAAGGGCAGCCAACTCTTGGCACAGAGAAGGGCCTCAGTTTGTGTGCTGGGTGAACGCGTGCATGCTAAGGAGCAGAACCATGTCAGTTTCTACACCTGGAACCAGTCGGGAGTGCTTCAAAAGCAAGGCAATGTACACGGGAGGCGAATTCCTTAGCAAAAGCAAAGACTTGACACAAACAACAGTGGACATATCTTTAGAGTAGTTAGCAGCCTCCACAAACCCAAACTAGCCCTGCTGCACACCAAGAGGCAAATTGCCAGGTAAGTTCACCTACAATTTGGCCAGTAGAAATGTGTCTCCCTTCAGGACCGGCAGAGACCAACTAGTGCCCCTGCTTCTAAGTTATCAGAGAAACGTATCCTGCTTCCACTCAACCCAGAATCTCCGAATTCTTCACAAAATCACTTGGTCCCCTAATTTAGGCCTCTTTGCGGTGGGTCTTCTGACTAGCGGGAGTCATGGGTAACTAGGGATGGTCAGTTCAGCCTTTCCTTTTCATGCAGCCAGAAAGGAGGCACTCCGGATTTTCTTTCGGACCCAGCAAAGACAGGGCTGCTGCCCAAGTTTTGCAGGTGGCATCCTGAATGGGAACATTTCACCCAGCCTGTGCAGGGACCCTTGTCACACCCTGAAACCTTCATTGTGAAGTAGAGCAGGGCTTCTTAAACTTTTCCCACCGGCAACCACTTTTCATAGAAGTTTTTATGTGTTCTTGGGTAGGGATTTTATACGATATAGGTGTGCTAATCAGACAGCTGCTAATGATAGATCATAACACAGTGTTAAGATAATTTTTGGCATACGAATGACTTTACCATTTATTAAAGACTAAGGCAAATTTGCATACCAGTGAGGTTGATTTGTTTATTGTTACATAAACATTAGATTTTGACCGAATACTTGAAGTCATAGAATGTAGAGCATCTGTAACATTGTTCAGAGTTAATTAATATTTTGGTTTATGGTTCTCAATGCATAAAATAGAAAAAAATATATTTAGGGCTATTTTGGACACTTCGTCCTAATCCCATGCTAAGATTCTGTTATCCTTTTTTTTTTTAAAGAGAGTTAAGACATTGATTTTAAATATTAAACATTCAAACACAGTACAATCCAATCACTCCCATTTGAAGCTCATATGCTAAGGAATGATGGTAGGAGAATATTAAAATAGGTTTTGTTTTCTGAATCGTGACATTATTGCTCTACAAGAACAGACAATTGTATGTGAAGTAAAACTGTTGCAGTCCATACCATCTGGTAGTCTTGCATCTGAACTGAGTTTTCGATGCAGCACTTCTTGGTGCCCTATGGTGTAACAGCATGTACAGGGTGAATAATGTGTGTGTAGAAGCAAGGTCACTGTGCAGGGCAGGGCAGCACCATGGCGCACTGCCAGAAACACCTTAGCGTGATCGGAATTTTTGAAATAAACTTTGGTTATTGCACATTCAGAAAACTTTTACTGTTGCCGAAAAATTTTGTACCCCTTTCCCAGAGACACACACTGGGGAGGGGAACTCATGTGTCAATTTTCTGCTACGTGTTCCAAATAAGAACTTAGATCAATTTTTAGAGTAATACAATAACAAGGGGGGAAAAGCAAACAAGAAACATAACAGTAGAACACAAAATGAAGATGAAAATGAGTTTTAAAAATCTGCAGACAGTGAAGGTTCCCAGGTTCACTTTTCCAGGGCTGAAACTCTGGCTTAAAGCTATATTTTCTATGAAGAAACATAATGAGTGGCACAAATCATAATGCACACATAGTCAAATAGAAATGATAACAATAGCTACAATGATTTTTAAGAATATGTAGAAATTTCTCCTATCAACCCCTAAAAGAGGATTGTCTACCAAGACTTCAGGATTCTCTTCATGGTAAGAAGCAGCAACATTCATAAGCTGCTGGTTAGAATATCCCTTGGTGTGACCTGCTGATTGTTAGAACATGTATCAATATGATCCCATGATAGAACAACCCTTGGTGTGACCTGACTGCAATCCGGCTCCTAGAAACAAAGCTTCCTCAAAAGCATCAAGGAAGTAGTGACACTTTGAAGTTACAGAGCACAAAACTATGACAGCTTCTATGAATAGAATCTTACATGGAATCTTCTGGATCTTCACCCTAGGACACCTGCATGCACTATGTAATCTTCTGGGATTGAACTGTGAAGAGCAATGCCATGATGCATTTGAACTCATTGGCAAGTCCTAGAGTTACTGCTGCTTATAAATAAAGGTGGTCTTGGTAGGCTGGCAGAAATGACTTCTTCTGGAAAGAACAGAGGAGCCTTGCATAACCAGAACTTTGCACACAGACTCTGTGGAGAGGAATCAAAGTGAAGTACTTGGTACTTCATACACTTGGTACAGGGGACCCAGGTGAAGTACTCTATGTTGATACATCATCCTCAAGTGGCCGCAGCATTCTGGACTCTGCTGAACTCTGGTGAGATGTCAGTTTATCTGATGACTTGTGAGCCAACTTACATTTTGTTTCTATCTTATTATGGAAAGATGACACTGTAGTTTAGAGAGGATAAAGAACTCTCTAAGTCCTTGCTAATATATGATACAAGCTGAATTTTGGCATCAGGGCTACAGATTCTATTCTGTCATATAGTCAAAATTTGTTAGGTCAGATGCAACCAAAATCTCAGCTTGGGCAAGAAAAGAAAAAAGAATAAAGTCCAGACTTGACATAGTAGTACACACTTGCTAGGGTCACTTTTCACAACAAATCCCTGCAGTGTGCCCATATTAACACAAGTTGCTTACTCTCTGCCAGATACATTATCAAGCAATTTTTCTGATGAATGGCTACATCAGAGGCTTTTGAATGTGGTCTGTTGAGTAACAGTTTACTCTTCCCTAAGAGTAACATGATATTGAGGCTCCTGAATTCTCAGATTCCACAGGAAGAAAGACAAGTTGTATCTTTTAAGTTTAAAAGAAAAGTAAACCTGAGGGAGGAAAACAAAGGAAAGGAGCTGATTTCAAAGTTTACAGATATCTTAAAAAACATCCTCTGGACCTACCTAAGAATGGAATGAGCTGACCTCAGAGTAGAATGGATTTCTCTAGAGGGTTTTTCCCTCACAGGAGCAGTAAATGCTAAGGGAGATTATGAGTCAAATTCCAAAAATATGAAAAAATGTATTCTTCGAAAGCTTTCATTTAAAAGTATATGTGTATAATAGTTCTTATGGATGTATTTTAAGGATACTCAAGAATCTGGTGACAATTTGCATCAAGAGAGCTATTGGGTGTTGAGGGCTAGAGGGAGAGTTATTTTTTCATTGTTTGTCCCTTTACATACTTAGAATTTTGTCCTGTGAATATAAGGGCCATTACCCTCCGATGATCCCTGCTGACATTTACTGGCCATAGGATAGTAGGCGCTGCTGCTGTTCTGGGCCTTGCATTCATTAATGTTGGGTCACCTGATTCTGAGTGATTATTCCATGAGGGAAACTGCTGACACAAAACTGTTTTGTTGCTGTGATCTGGCAGTGAAGAGTTTCATGAAGCTTAACAATGCAAGCTGCTGAACAAAGTGAAGAGTCGACGTGTCTTGGATCCATCCACCAGAGACATGGATTAGAAAGGCACATCTTTCTGAGCAAATCTGGCACTGGGAGGTGGGCACAGGGAAGTGCAGATCACAGGGGAACCAATGCCTATCTAGGAAGCCCTGAATGGAATTGACACATGCTTGTCTTAGTAAGAAGATTCCAGTGAGTTACAAACTCCACAGGGACTCACTTTTGGGAAGATACCAGGGATGATACATTAAAGTGAGTGTTACATCTAGGAGACTGACCAGATCCTCACAGAGAAATCCTGGAGATAATTATATAGTTGTTCTGCCTGTGGAAGGTTATCAGAGGCACAACCTATGAAAGCTTTGAAAAGAGTTTAACATAGTTGGAATAAAGGAATAAACAACTCCAAGTTCTTCTAGGTATCTTGGGTGAGGATGTTCACAGTCCAGAGACACCAGCTTACTAAGGAACTGAGACCTATGGTAAGATGTAAAGGACTGTGGGATCCTTCACATCTCTCTGAACTGTCCTGGTACCTACTAAAAGCCTCTTTCTCATAGTTCCTCCTATCAGGGTACATCATGTCTACCCTGCAACAAAAGCTTACAATGCGTCTATGTTAGCCAGCGTTCTATTGCTGGGAAGCACCATGACAAGGCACACTTAAAAAGAAAGCATTTAACTGGGGGCTTGCTTACAGTTTCCGGGGCTTAGTCTATCATCATCATGGCAAGAGCATGGCACTGTGTATGCAGTCACAGTCCTAGAACAGTAGTTGAGAGC